GAAGCCCGCAGCTACGGCTCGGCGGAGGGTGGGGAAGGACCCCAACCCACCTGAAGTGGCCCGAGAGGCGCCCCTACCTCCCCGACGTTCCCTCCCCGCTGCCTTGAGCTGGGAGGAGCGAACGGGAGAAAGTAATTGAGGCGCCCCCTGCATCTGCTGTTCGGGCGCTGAGTGTGGGGTGGGGTGGGTAGGGGTGGGGGAACACCAGTGTAGACCGCAGTAGCCCAAGCAGGGGGCGGGAGGGGAGGGCCTGGAATCTTCCCTGCGGCAAGTTTGGAATTCCGGGCTCTCTAAGCCTCAGCTTCTGCCCGCAGGAGCCCACCCTCCTGGCTTTTCCTGCTCCGGAGATTTCCACCTCCCCCTCTCCCCGCTTTCCCCGAGGCCTGCAGCGGTACCCTCCGGAAGCCTCAGAAACTCCACCATCCTGATCTGAAAGTCCCGGGTCCCAAACAGGAACGCGTGGGATTTTGCTGCCGGAGTCCCCGGCCTGCTCCGCCCGGTGCCTTCGTGGTGGCTGGGGGTGGCGGTGCGTCCCGGAGCGGGGGCGCATTCCGGAGGGACATACCAGACAGAGTGCTGTGCGTAGAGGCCCCAGTGGCCACTCCTGGTGTGGGGTCTGGGCTGAGATTCCAGAAGCCCCCCTCCCAACTTAGCCACCCAGGTGGCTTCATCCAGGCCCAGGTATCTGCCTGCCACTTCTTAGTGGATGCGTTAAGCCCCAGAGCGCCTCGGAGAGAGGGTAAGACCGGCTGGAGATGGGCAGTCGTCCATCTTTCTAGGGGTGGGGCGGGGGCTGAGAGGTGGGTTGGGGAGGCAGAGAGGAGTGGTTTAAAGGCTGTGTTCCCAGAAGGCACCTGCTGTTGGGGTCTCTGACTCACCACTCTATACTCTAGAGTGGGGGCCTGGTCGGGCTCTTTCCTGGAGAACCCGCCTCCCATCCCATTCCTAGGAGTCCTGCTGAGGCCTTTGTGTGGAGATGGGGTGAGGGTGTTATTGTTCTGGGCTGGGGAGAAGGCCCACCTGCCCCACGGAGGCCTCTCTGGTTCCCCCTGGAGAAGAAGCCGCGGCTGGGAGGAACTGGTCTGGGCTGACTCAGAGCCAGGGAAAAGACTGATTTCGCAGGTGATTAAAAATATTTCTGGGGCTGATTCCCTGGAGGACTCTTTGGAGAACCCCAAAGCCCAATGCAGACCCTGAAGTGGCCGGGGAGAGACCTGATTGAATCTGTTCCTGTGGAGGATGGTCAGGTGCCTGATGACCGGTCAGCTGCCACCCAGTCCCAGCAGGCAGCCGGTAAGGGGAGACATGGACACAGCATACAGAAATCCAGGGTTCAAGAGGTTACATTTCAGGGTGTAGCCACAGGAGGCAGGAAATGAGAGACCCCAGGCCGAGCGCAGCCCATCTAATTTTATTATTGGTCCCATCTGCATATACTCCCAGATTTGGGTCTCCTCCTTAAGGCTCCCAGGCCTCCAAAAACCCTAATCCTAGCCAGGGGCCAAGAGGCCAGGCCCAGCTGACCCACTTTCCCCACTAGAGTCTCTGTATCTTTTTTCCTTTTGTTTAGGGGTGGGGACAGAAATGTGGGCCAGAGAGAAGTGAGACATTCCAGGAGGGGAAAGGGTTACTTCCTGGGAGGCTGGTAAGTGTCAGGGCAGCTGGGCAGCAGCCTGGCACCTGATGCGAGTGAGCCGGCAGCCCTTGGCAGCCCAGGTGAAACTGCAGGTAAGGTCTGGAAGGAGATTGGATGAACACAGCAACCTCAGGAGGAAGGGGAGCACCGAGTGAACCCTGAGGCTCTCCTGACCCTGCAAGGGGCCGGGGCCGGAGTGCAGACAGGTCCCCAGAGTTCCAGGACCAGAGGAAAGAGGGAACAGTGCCTGCCGGCAGCAGCGGGGCCTGGCTGGGTGTTTGTCAAGACAGGCCTGCGAGTGGGTTAGAAAGTTGCCATTTCAGCTTTAGCCTCTTCACCATAGTCATTGGACATGAGTTTTGGAAGCTCGGACCCAGACTACAACTTTACCATCCTTAATCTTGAGGCTGGAACGAAGGAATCCCCAACCAGCTGATTGCCGTGGACCTTTTCTTTCTTTCTTTCTTTTATTTATTTATTTATTTATTTATTGCCACACAAAACTCTAACCATGAGCCCCCAGTGCTGGGAGCAGTCCCTCCCTGCACATCTTTATTCCAGCCTCCCCCACCCCCGCAGCATGCCTTTGCAGACTCCTGGTTCCTGGCTGCTGGGTGAGCTGGGGGTTTTCCTTCTTCAAACTCAGGCTCGGCTTCTGCCTTCTCCTCCCTTTCCACCTGCTCAAACCCCCTACCTGGCCTTCTTCAGGGCTTAGCTGCTGTGTGTTCCTAGCTTGCAGCCATTGTCTAAGACAGGTGCTTCATTTGCATACTGACTTCAGTGCACCCGGAAGGACCCCTGGGCAGGAGGCTCGCTCCTCTTCTGGGTGCCATGGCACCTGCTACAGGTAAACTGTGCTGGAGCGCTTATCTCTTTTACTAGATTTGAAATTCCACCGAGTCACAACTGTGTTGGTTCATGCATGTTAAACAAGACCTTATCCCTCCTAGGCACACAGTAAATATTTGCTGACTTGGGGTAGCTGTCCTGTCTCCGCTGAGACCTGACCCAGGGAGGTGGGTGACACACCCTGGAGGCTTTTCAGAGTTCACACACCCCCATTCCCAGCTTCACCCCAGTTTCTGGCTGTTTCCTTTTGGATCGAATACACCCAGTTCCGCATTGGAGGTCCCATAGCTTGCCGCTTTCTGTAACCGCCCCCCAGGATGGGTCAGTCCGGCGCCTCCAGCTCTCCAGCAGCTGTGGACCTACTTGGTGCCTCGTTGATACAATTTCACCCAGTTCCCTACAAAAGCTTGTTTCATCTGGTGTCCCTGAAGCTTTTGCATTTGAAGTGAAGGGACATGGGCTGCCCCTGGGCCTGCTATACAGGAAGATGATAATAAATTTATACTAGAAGGTCAGTTTCAAGGGATAATGGTAGTTTTTGGTGGTGGGGGGGGGAGGATGATGCTGTGGCATAGTAGATCAAGCCACTGCCACCTGCGATGCCAGCAGACCCAACGAACACTAATTCGAATCCCAGCTGCTTCAACTTCTGATCCAGCTCCCTGCTTTTGTGCTTGGGAAAGCAGCAGATGGCCCAAGTGCTAGAACCTCAACACTCACACGGGAGACCTGGGAGAAGCTGCAGGCTCCTGGCTTCAGTCTGGCCCAGCGCTGCCTATGGCAGCCATTTGGAGAATGAGCCAGAGGGTGAGGGACATCCCCCCTCTCTGCCTGTGCCTCTCTTGACGTTTCACCTTTCAACTCAGTCGATCAATTTTTTTTCAGAGTTCATTTATGTTGTATTTGAGAAAAACCAAGGTTTATTGAAAGATGAAGTAGCAGAGTAGGAGGCATGAAGTACGTACCTGAGTCTTATCACATCATTTTTGACTGATTTTAGGAATTTCGTTTCCCCTGATAGTTAAGCTTACTTTCACCTACAAAGATGATGGTGAGACAACTTCTTCTTCTTTTAAGATTTACTTATTTTTATCGGAAAGTCAGATATACAGAGAGGAGGAGAGACAGAGGAAGATCTTCTGTCCAATGGTTCACTCCCCAAGTGACGACCGGTACTGTGCCGGTCCGAAGCCAGGAGTCAGGAACTTCCTCCAGGTCTCCCACGTGGGTGCAGAGTCCCGAAGGTTTGGGCCATCCTCGACTGCTTTCCCAGGCTGCAAGCAGGGAGCTGTGTGGGAAGTGGGGCTGCCGGGATTCGACCCAAGCGCCGTTATGGGATCCCGGTGTGTTCAAGGCGAGGACTTTAGCCAGATGATGCCATTTCCCTGTCAGCCAGGGAAAGCCTGACTACTTGTCTCCCACAGTTCCTACTCTGACTGGCAGACGCAGGGTTACAGCTGGTCACTTGAACAAATGTGGTGACTTAGATTGGGGAGCTTGCATTTCGTTCATCTGCACTTGATACCTTGCTTTTTAAGGCGCTTAACATTTCTGTCGGTGAAGCCAAATTTTGATTGGAAAACTCAGATTTGCTTCGTCACTTCCCTCTGCCTGTTTGTTTTCATCCTCCTTGCCAGACTGGGAGAATCGGACAGACATTGCGAGTTGGGGTTGGTATGGGTTGGCACAACTTCCAGGAGCAGTGGGGGAACAATATGTTACCTTCCGGGTGTTAAGATCTTCTCACTTGCTTTCTAGAAGTCTTCTATTACAGGTGCATTCCTTGGGGTTTTGCGTTGCCTGGTTCTTGGCTCTTGGCTTTTTAAAATGTTCATGCCTCACCGGAGAATTGTTGCATGAAGTCATCAACTCCCTAGCTGAAGAATGAGTTTATTTTTCCCCTTGCCTGGAGCATCTGAGCCACAAAGAACTCCAGCTTCAGAAGCGGAGAGTAGGCACTGAAGGGGAATGAAGGGCCGAGGGGAGCTGGAGGGCGAGCAGGTGTGCGTGGTCAGCCGCTGTCTCTTCATGTAGGAGTGTACACAGGCCGGGTGCTCATCAAATGCTTGCTGCATGAGTGAGTGCCTGGCCGTGGGTTTGGGCATCACAGGGACGGAATTTAGGGACCCAGCACCTTCATCCACCGGACTCTGGGAGTCCATGGGCAGAGAGCGAGTGCTGAATGGATAATCTTGGTTTTTGACTTGTTCACATGTCTCTCTGCTCCATCCCTGGCTGCTAGAGCTTAGGGAATATTTGAACCCAGATTTCGGGGTGGAAGGGAGTGGCTCCCTTTTCCCTGGTAGGGAACAGGAATGACAAACAGGCTTCATTTCATCTGGCTGTGTGTTCAGAAGGATTCAGAAGCACAGGTCCTCTAGCCCCTCGGCTAAGGTCTGGAGGGGCTGGGGCAGAGGCAATCCTACGTGTGCTGGGGTCTGGCCTTGGCGCACTGACTTTGTCCCTTATCCTTCTGTCTCCAGGGTCCCAGCTGGAGCCTGGCCTGGGAGCCAGGATGGCAACACACAGGGCCATGCTGGTGTGCCTGGGCCTGGGCCTCTTCCTCCTGCCAGGAGCCCAGAGTGCCCCACCAGGCTGTAGCCCGGACCTCAACCCCCTTTACTACAACCTGTGTGACCGCTCCGGCGCCTGGGGCATCGTCTTGGAGGCAGTGGCCGGAGCGGGCGTCGTCACCACATTTGTGCTCACCATCATCCTTGTGGCCAGCCTGCCCTTCGTGCAGGACAGCCGCAAGCGCAGCCTGCTGGGCACCCAGGTCTTCTTTCTGCTGGGCACTCTGGGGCTCTTCTGCCTTGTGTTTGCCTGCGTGGTCAAGCCGGACTTTTCCACTTGTGCCTCCCGCCGCTTCCTCTTCGGAGTCCTGTTTGCCATCTGCTTCTCCTGCCTGGTGGCCCACGTTTTTGCCCTGAACTTCTTGGCCCGGAAGAACCACGGGCCGCGGGGCTGGGTCATCTTCCTCGTGTCCCTGTTGTTGACCCTCGTGGAAGTCATCATCAACACGGAGTGGCTGGTCATCACCCTGGTGCGTGGGGCCGGCGAGAGCAGTGGTGGAGCTGCAGGCAACGGCAGTGCCAGCTGGGCCGTGGCCTCGCCCTGCGCCATCGCCAACATGGACTTTGTCATGGCGCTCATCTATGTCATGCTGCTGCTGCTGGGGGCCTTCGTGGGCGCCTGGCCCGCCCTGTGTGGCCGTTTCAAACACAGGCATAAGCATGGGGTCTTTGTACTGCTCAGCACGGTCACATCCATCACCATCTGGGTGGTGTGGATTGTCATGTACACCTATGGCAACGAGCAGCACAACAGCCCCACTTGGGACGATCCCACGCTGGCCATTGCCCTCGCTGCCAATGCCTGGGCCTTCGTTCTCTTCTATGTCATCCCCGAGGTCTCCCAGGTGACAAAGGCCAGCCCCGAGCAGAGCTACCAAGGGGACATGTATCCCACCAGGGGCGTGGGCTATGAGACCATCCTCAAGGAGCAGACTGGCCAGAGCATGTTTGTGGAGAACAAGGCGTTTTCCATGGATGAGCCTGCAGCAGGTGTGTCTCCCGACCCCCACCTGTGCCCTCCTGCCCTCCATCCGGCGTGATTTCGCTGCAGGCTGGGGAACCCACCTGCTCAACAAAAGGGAAGATTGTTTTAGGTTACCTAGATTGCTGCTTTAAAGTCCCCAGATACCACTTAACATTTTTTTTTATAAATATTTATTTTAATTGGAAAGGTAGAGTCTACAGAGAGAGAAGGAGAGACAAAAAGAGAAGCTATTTCATTCACTATATTACTCCCCAAATAGCCAGAGCTAGGCTGACTGAAACCAGGAGTATTCCACGTGGGTGCAGGGGCCCAAGGCTTTGGACCATCCTCCACTGCTTTTCCAGGCCATAGGTAGGAAGATGGATTGGAAGTGGAGCACCTGGGATACGAACCAGTACCCATATAGGATGCTGGTGTCACAGGGCAGGGTATTAGCCTACTGTGACACCTCGCTTGTCCCCTCCCGGGAATTCACTTTTAAAAACAATCATTGTGTGATGGAGACATTTTTCAGCTGCTGGTTCACGTCTTAAATGCCAGCAACAGCTAGTCTGGGTCAGGCTGAAGCCAGGAGCAAGGAACTCCTTCCAGAAGGGCACAACCCCAAGTGCTTCAGCCGACACCTGCTGCCTGTCAGACACATTAGCAGGAAGTGGATCAGAATTGGAGGTGGGACTTTGTCGCAGGTATTTGGATTTGAGTGTCCTAAGCAGCAGGTGCACCACACGCCCACCCCTAAATCCCATTTTCTAAACATTATGGCCCCTGCATGGTGGCCTAGCAGCTAAAGTCTTCACCTTGAACGTGCCAGGATCCCACCCATATGGGTGCCAGTTCTAATCCCGGTGGCCCGGCTTGTCATCCAGCTCCCTACTTGTGGCCCGGGAAAGCAGTCGAGGATGACCCAAAGCCTTGGGATCCTGCACCTGCGTGGGAGACCTGAAGAGCTCCTGGCTCTTGGTTTTGGATTGACGCAGCTCCAGCCATAGTGGTCACTTGGGGTGTGAATCACTGGATGGAAGATCTTCCTCTCTGTCTCTCTTCCTCTGTATATCTGACTTTCCAATAAAAATAAATAAATCTTTAAAATCATTATTTACTATCTGAATGGCGAATTATAATGACAGAAGGATGGAGGGAGAGAAAGAGATCATTGATTCATTGGTTCTCCGAATGGCTGCAACAGCCCTGGCCAGACCGAAGCCAGGAGCCTGGAGCTTCCTGGCCTTCCATGTGGGTGCAGGGGCCCAAGCACTTGGACCATCTTCTGCTGCTTTCCCAGATACATTAGCAAGGACTTCGATGGGAAGTGGAGCAGCTGGGACACAAACTGGCGCCCATAAAGGGTCCCAGCATTTGCAGGGAGAAGGATTAGCCAGTTGGGCCATCGTGCCAGGCTTCTCAGTGTAAATTTTCAGACATTCCAGATTAAACCGGATTTCCCTTCGCTGCCTCCTCAGTTCTGCCTTGTACCATCCTGATCCTTCCCCATAGGGACCACTGCTCGCTGGTGCCTCTGCAAGCCTTGGCATGCTTGCCTGTGACCCCTCTTGCATGGGTTCCACATGTGGGTGTGCACTGCTCGGGCCTGGCCAAGTGTCAGCTGTCTGTGTGGCTGTTATTTTACTGTTAATGTCTTGCTAGACTTCACTTTTCTTTCTCTAAGGATGCATTTATGTGTTCAAAAGACAGAGTTACAGACAATGAGAGGAGTTCTTCCATCCATCGGGTCACTCTCCAGTGGCCAGGATGGCTAGAGTTGGGCCAGTCCCAAGCCTGCAGCCAGACACTTCTTCTGGGTCTCCCGCATGGGTTCAAGAGCCCAGGCACTTGGGCCATCCTCTACTGTTTTCCCAGGCACGTTAGCAAGGAGCTGAATCGGAAAGGGAGCGTCTGAGAATCCAATCTGCATCCTTATGGAATGCTGATGCTGCAGGTGGTGGCTTAACGTTGCTATGCCACAGTGCCAGCCTTGAACTTGATTTTCTATTATGTGTGCATTCATGATTATCTTTATATTCTTTAAACAAAGGCCTTCCCAGTGAATGCTGCTTTTCCGCTGTGCAGCGTCTGAGCAGCCTGGAGGTCAACGGTGAGGACCAGCGGCAGTTGCTGAACGCCCTGGGCCCTGCCTCTGTTGTGGGGTCACAGTCTCAGCTGCTTCACTTGCAGTCCTGCTCCCTGCTAAGCCTTCTGGGAAAGCAGTAAAGGATGGCACGAGAGCAGGGGGCCCTGGTACTCATATAGTGAGACTCGGATGGAACCCTTCAGGCAGTGGCCACTGCTGGGGAGGCAGAGGCTAAGTGGTGAATCAGGCTCCTGAATGAGAGAAATCCCTGCCGCTCCACAGGCTGTGAGACCCTTGTTCTGCTGGGCCCTTGATCTTGACCTGTCCACCTGGGCGGCCTGAACACTGGCCCGCTCTGCCAGGTGCCACTGAGTCTGCATGGGGAGTGGCAGCTGATGAAGCCACAGGACAGAGAGGAACCGGGAGCCCTGGGGACACGTGCTGGGAGTCACTGCCCCGCCTCTGTTCTTCCCCTCGTGTCTGTCCATCCAGGCCAAACACCTCCCTGCTTTTGTCCTCTCAGCAGACACTTCTGGGGTGTGAGTTTATTTATTTATTTTTTAATGAAAAAAATCAATGGAATGAGGCCAGCACTCAGAGGATCCCCTATAGGTTGTGATCCCTACGCCCTAGAGGAGCCAGGCAGCTGCAGGGTGCCCCTGGCCTGCCTGTGGGCTCTGCGGGTGCAGCATGTCTGGAGTATTGCTGCTGTTACAGACAGTTCTGGAAACTTGCCTTGGGGGCCACGGGCCAGTTAGGCATTTAGTCTCCCCAGCAGGTTCCGGGTGTTGAGGGGGGGTGGTGCGGAAACTCCACTCAGCGTAGCCCTACTAAGATGTGAGGAGTCTTAGGCTGTGGGTGGGGGAGGGAGGGTCTCAGCTTGTTTACCCTGGCACCTGGCCTGTAGCGGCAGGGGCCGGAGCTGGAGGCTGGCCATCTCAGGAGGCCGGGGCGGAAGGCCCGTGTGCCCCTCTTGGCCTCTGGTCCTGGAGGGCGGATGGGGATGTGAAGGTGCTGACATAGCATTTTTTTCCAGAGCTATTCTAGAGGAGGGGGGTAGCCTGGCAGGGAGGTGGGGAGGGGTGGGGGAGGCGTGGGGGGAGTTCCACTTGGCAAGGAAGTCAAGCAATGGGAAAGGGCCCCAGTGCCCGCAGCCCAGCGCCACTGCTCTTCCCTGCCCTGCAGGAGAACCTGGCTTGGGTTGAGGGATGGGGGGTGTGGAGGGGAGCCCAGAGCCCAGGCACCCCCTAAGTGTTCCTGTTTGCCATTACAGCCAAGAGACCCGTGTCTCCATACAGCGGCTACAATGGGCAACTGTTGACCAGCGTGTACCAGCCCACTGAGATGACCCTGATGCACAAGGGCCCGGTGAGTGGGGTCCCTGGGCTGCAGGGGACAGTCCAGCAGGTGTATCGGGGAGGGTTAGGGCAGCTGAGGGTTGAGATGGAGCTGGCTGGCCTGGGCCAAGCCCAGGGTCAGTTCTCAGGCCCTTTTCTGAGGTCCAGATAGCCACTGCCTTGGACTCTGGCCCGGGGACCCCGCCTATGTCACTGACTGGCAGCACACCCATGCCAGGCAGGCTGCTGTGGAGCCAGCCCTCACTGGTGGCTTGGAGCTTGGGAAGTGACAGGAGGGTCACGGCCAGGCGCTCTTCAAGGGGCCAAAGGCTGTCTGTCCCAAGAGGGGTCTCCAGCTCCCCTCCTCATCCCGTGCACACAGGCAGCGCGTCCTGACCTTGCACCTCCTCTGGGGTCTGGAAGCCAGATGCTTGATTAGCCAGGAAAGCAGTGGGAACAGGAAGGCTCTGGGCTAGTCAGCACTGAGGGGGCGAGCTCACTGACCTGCCCGGGCAGGATGCTGGGAACAGGAAGCAGGGAAGTCAGCGGGCGGGGTTCTCACCACTCTCCCGCCCCCTCCCCTCCAACACACCAGCTTGGGCAGGCTGGCCCCAGTTCCTGTTGCCGCTGGAGCCTGTGATTGGGGCGGGACTGTGAAGGAACCTCTAAGAACAGCAGAGGACCAGCAGGGCGAGGGAGGAAGCCATGCTCCCCTTCCCTGGTGTGTGCGCTGAGGGCCACCTGCCTAGCTGGGCTGGTTTTCGTTTTTTCCTTCTGATTCTTAGAATGCAGTGCCCAAGCCCCCAGCATTAGGTTATCTGGAAACTGGCTTCCAGCATAGTAGGCTGCGTGGGGTGGCAGGCGAGAGACGCTGATATTCTCTCAGGATCTCTCTGATGTCACCTTGTGGCCCTGGGAGTGGAGCGACTGCCCCAGGCACATATGCCCTCTGTGTGAATCAGGGCTCCCACTCCCCACCCAGTGGGCTAACATTTACTGCCCCCTTGCCCTACCCAGTTCCAAGGGTAAGAGGCCTGACAGATCAGGTGAGTCTGGTGCCAGCAAGCCAAGGTTTGAACCGGCCCCTTTCTGTGGGGGTAAGGGAAGCAGGTGGACCTGGGAGTTCACGCTCCCTCCATGGCGAGAGCTGGTGCCTCAGGAGCCTCTGTCGCAGTCCCTGCTGCAGAATCTCCAGCTAGAAAGGGGCCTTGGGGGAGCGGGGAAGTTCAGGTTTCAGATCAGACCAGCCAGTCCAGGACCGTGGCTGGAGAGGTGTGGGTACTTCAGGGCCCAGCAATGGGGTGCTGGGCATTGTAGGAGACTCAGGCAGACAGGCTGGGAGCTGTGGCGAGCAGGGAGTGGTGACCCAGTCCTGGGTGGGGGATCTGGAGGTGCCCGCTGAGGCGACCCCAGGGGCAGGGAGAGGCTGCGGGCACCAAGCCAGCTCCTGTCTTCAGGGAGGCAGTCCTCCAGCCCAGATCTAACTGGAGCGGGTGGAGGGAGATGTGGGAGCCTGGCAGGCAGGCCCTGCAGGAAGCCAAGCCTGCATGCGTCCCGCCAGGCGGACACCTGCTCCCGGACCCCTCGCTGTGACACCGCCTGTTCTTCTTTGCAGGCTGAGGGAGCGTACGACGTCATCCTCCCGCGGGCCACTGCCAACAGCCAGGTGATGGGCAGTGCCAACTCCACCCTGCGGGCCGAGGACATGTACGCGGCCACCCGGAGTCACCAAGCGGCCACAGCGTCCAAAGATGGCAAAAATTCTCAGGTCTTTAGAAACCCTTACGTGTGGGACTGAGGAGGAGGTGCTTGGAGGAGCCAGATGGCTCTGGGGATGGCCCTGGTCCGGGCGAGGCAGCCTCGCAGAGCCTGTACCCTAGCTCCAGGCAGCCTTGGTCTCCGAGCATGAGGTTCCCTCTGCCAATGTCCCCGGATGGGGGTGTGCAGTCCTGGGCACGCCCACCCACACCTCAGTATTTGTGGAGTTGGGGAGCCAGCCCTAGCTTCGTGCCAGGACCCCCCAATGGTGCTCCTGCTCCGGCCAAATAGTATTTGTGGGGTGGTGGCCGCCAGGTGCTCCGGGCCTGAGCTTGCTCCTCTGTGAGGACCAAGATGCCCTAATAAACGTGTCTGCTTTATTAACCCGTGCTGCGCCATCGTGGTTCCTGAACCGGAAGTTCAGCGGCTGCGACCCAGTCTCTGTCCACAGGAACCTCTGGGTGGCTCTTACTGAAGATTTATTTATGTATTTGAAAGGCAGAGTTAAACACACACAGAGGGACAGATTTTCCATCCACTGGTATATTCTCTTGAAGGCAGCAGTGGCCAGGGCTGGGCCAAGCTGAAACCAGGAGCTTCTTCAGGGTCTCCCCTGTGGGTGCAGGGCCCCAAGCATGCCTCAGCAGGGAGCAGGATTGGAACTAGAGCAGATAGGACTCGAACTGGCGCCCACGTGGGGAGACCCACTGTTGCTGGCAGTGGCTTAACCCCACAAGCCTGACATGTCAGCCTCCGGGTAACTGTTCTCTTCCCAAACCCGGCTCTTGTGGAAAGTTGCTGTTGAGTTTTCCATCCATGGAATTCAGTGGCGGATGCCGCCGTCTGAGCAAGGGGGCTGGAGCGGGCCCCATGCCTGTGTCGAGTGTGGTCAGGAAGAACTGTGGACTCCTCTCGTACCTGGGATGCAGGCCTATGTCTGGATGGGGCCAGTGCAGGCAGCTTTCCCCTGGGGTGTCCTGCACTGGGTGCAACAGGAGCATAGCAGGGAGGCAGCCCCAGGAGCAGGCAGCTCTGGGGGAAAGAAGAACCACTCCTCACTAGGAAAGGGAGTGAAGAGCCTCGTGGGTTTCCCTGATGTAGGGGTGAGCAGAGAGGGCCAGGGCTGGCTGACCCCGGTGGAGACCCTGGTGGCTGCTGTCCTTCCTGGGCAGTTGTTGACATGTCCACGTGCTTAGTACTTGACTGGCAATAAGGGCTTTGTGCATGCACTTCCCTGGTGCCCACCTGAGACCCTCCTTGGCCTGCCCTGGGGAGGTGGGGTGGTCCACAGGCTCCAGCGTCCTAAGTCCTCCAGTAGTGTGGACAAGGAGGGGCACAGGCTCCAGGCTGCTCAAGCTTGTCCTGGGGACCTGCCCATCCCAGGCCTGGGAAAGTTGCCTCTACAGCAGTCAGAAGCTATTTTCTGACATTGGTTGTAGGGAAAAAGAATGTTCTAGTTTGAAAGGAGAGAAAGGATGCCGGAAGGAAAATGAGACGTCTGGCAAACTTCGCCCTCTGTTCAGACTGCAGCAGGCCCCTGGGGACTGAAAGCCTCATTTTTTATTTTTTATTTTTGCTAAATAAAATCACCCAGGCAGAGTGATTCCTTTGACTCTTTTTTTTTTCTGGTTACTTTAGGCTCAGTCCCCGCAAAATCCAACGAGATGGTAACGCCCTCTTCCCGGATGGCGCGTCGTCCGGGCCCAGCATCTTCCCTGCCCTTGGCCTTGGAGCCAGGAGGGACCAGAGGTCACTTACCTGACACAGAGCACTGGGTGGGGAGTGACTACAGCATCCCACGTGGCTCCCTGTCCCCTCTCAGTCCCCCTGCTCCCACAGCGTGGCTCTCCAGGTGGTCCTTGTACTGTGAGCAGTAGCCACAGAGGCTGTCTCGACACGCGACCTTCCTGGCCTGGTCACCTGAGTGCCGGCTCTGGGCTGTCCTGCTCTGGGCCTGGGTGGATCTTCTCTGGGAGTCTTCAGAGACTAGTCACGGTGACAGGTGGCCACCTCCTTCCCCCCACGACCACCTCAGCCTGGGCTAGGGAAGCCCGTTGAGCCGAGGCCAACCTCAGCCTGGACACCTGTGTGTCTCTTCATGGCCTGGGGGCCCTGACTGTGTGCCCTTCCCATCGTGACCCTGGCCAAGCCGTGCCCAGCTTTCGGCTAACTGGGTCCCACCACCAAGCCTGGACCTGGCCCGTCTGCTGTCTGTTCCCAGCTGGGCCACCTGGGATGGGACCACCACACTGGCCCCAGCTGAGGATGCGGTCTTCATCCAGAACTACCTCACAGGGAGCCCCGAAGAGTCGGAACTTGCACGATTTATGAACCACAGGTTTTCTCTCCGAGGCAGTTCAGAAGGTGGCTGTGGAGCAGGTACGGGTGTAAACGCTCCTGGGTGATCTGAACCCCACAAGTTATTGGGTGTAGTGCGGACTCCTGTGGCTATCTGGATGTCTCCAGTAAGGACTTACAAGCACCCTTAGGAGACTCCAGCAGGCTGTCAGGCTGTGTTCTTAGGGACCAGCGGAGGGTCCTGGACCAGACGGATCCAGGTCTGGGCCTTGGCTGTGACTGGGGCTTAGCGCTGGGTAGCGCTTTAGGGCTCCAGGACTGGTGAATGTGCCTCACCGTGGACAGCAGGTGGATGAGACAGTACTGCTTGCGTCACCAGCAGACCCTTGGAGTCCTCAGCCCTAGGACGAACCCCAGGGGTCCTCACAGCCACCCTGCAAGAGGGGGCCTTTCTCAGGATTTATATGATCCTGGCACCCAGGACAGAGTCCAGGGAGGGGACTTCTGGTAGCATCCTGTGTCTTGCACTTGGGGTCCAGGCAGGGCTGGCCTACTCTTGTCACATGGTCCCTGGAGTGCAGGCCTCAGCCCTGCATCACCTCCGGGTGCCCAGGGTTGGGGGTGAGCACCCCCAGGGTTGATGCCCAGGGTTGGGGGTGAGCACAAGGTCAGTAGGTGGTCCCACAGTTCTCCAGCACCACCCTGCTGTCCCCAGCTGCCAGTGACTTTGGACATATTAAGCCCTGACTTGGGACACCTGCACCCCAGAGTGCATCGGAGTGCCTGGTTCGAGTCCTGACCACTCCCAGATTTCCAGTCCAGCTCCATGCTATTGTGCCCGAGAGTCAGCACTTAGGTCCCTGCCACCCACCTGGGGGAGACCCAGATGGAGTTCCTGGCTCCTGGCTAAGTGCACATGGACAGGGCAAGAGGAGCTCTGTGTATCTCCACCTGCTCTTGACCTGGGTCAGTGGTCCCAGGATCCCTTGTAGTGAATAAAGGTGTTATCTTGCTTCCCTAGGCAAGCGCATCACAGGAGCCCCTGGCGGTGCCAGGCAGCAGGTGAACGTGGGTGTGTTTACTGCCAAGTTCCAGGGGTGGGGGTGGTAGGTCTGTCAGGGAGGCTGGGGAGGGTGGACCTGCCTGGACTCAGCAGTGGGCAAGGCCTTGCTTTCCAGTCCTGAGCTGCAAGGAGGAGACGGGGCTTTCTCAGAGGGGGCCGAGCTGCATCCCACCTGCTGTAGCTTTGTGGTCACCAGGCTAACGCTGGGTCTCTGCTGTGCCCAGGAGTTCGGCCTCATGCTGCCTGCTACTTTCTTCTGGCTGCAGACTGATTCTCCGAGCAGGAGGGAAGCCAAGCCTCTAACCGATGCTGAGTTCTCAGCTAGCCCAGAGACCAGGGGTCCCCTGTTTCCACATTCTGTGGGAAAGAAGGCATGAGTCAGCCTGGGGCTGGAGGAGGATGGGTCACACCTCCCACAAAGCAGTGCGGCTCCTGGTGCAGGTGCACCTGCGCAGCCCAGCTCACAGGTGAGTGTGGGGGACAGGCGGCAGGACGCCATCTGCCCCCAGCAGTGATTCAGCCCTCTGATCCTCTTTCACCAAGCCCAGCACTTTGTCCAACCCCCAGGGGGACCCGCCAAGGTCAGGGGTAGGGGTAGGGGGCTGGGCTTCCAGTCTGCTGTCTCCACCACCGCCACTGGCGGAAGCTGCAGCCCCTGCTCGGGGCCGCCTGCGTGAATTATTTAGCATTGCACCAGCCCGGTAGTGCTCAGCCTGCCCTCAGTCTCCTGGGGCTCCGGGTGTGGCTCTGACCTCATCCTCCTTGAAAAGAGCCTGCTGCTAACAGGCAGGGGCCCGGAAGTGGCCGGGAGACCCAGCTGTCCCGGGGCAGGGCAAGGAGTGGGGACAGGACCAGGATCTGCAGGTTCAGGTGCTGGCTCTTAGGGCTGCTCCCTGAGTCCTCTGTTTATTGGTAAAATGGACCTCTCCACTCATGCAGACGCCACTGAGTTGGGGGTCACCTGCAGCAGTCCAAGAGTACTCAAAAGTTTTACACCAGATCCTCAGGGCTGTAGAATCCCCCTGAGGACACCCCCACGGCCCCCAGCGCACCTGGAGTGGGGGCACAGCATCCGCATCCGGCACCCCAGCCAATCCAAGGCCGTCTGCCCAGGCGCCGCCTCCTGCAACCTGACCCAGTGCCCGCTGTCTGGACTCCCGCAGCAGCCCCCCCCCTCCCCCGGCCACGTCGCTTCCCAGCTTCCCAGACTGCAGTGGTCAGCTCTTGGCTGTCCCACCCTGGAGCCGGGACCTGCCCCCTTCCCGGCTGTCGCTTTCAGCCCAGAGCAAAGCAGGGCGTTGAAGAAGCAGGTCCCTGTTTCCGAGAGGGGAGATCCATGTGGGGTGCACAGGGTCTCCGTGCACACAGTGTGGGGCAGAGGGCAGCGTTCCTAGCCTGCCACCACCGGAGGCCAGCAGCACTGCCCAGGCTTCCCAGGATGTGACAAATGCCCTGTGCCAACAAGGCCATCTTCAACTTTCTGGGGGTGGGAGGTGAGGGAACATGGGACCAGGACATGGGTCCAGTCTGGAGACTGTAATCTTGGCCACCACAAGTGACCTGCCAACTCCTCACTCCATGCAATCCCGGCTGCCGCTGTGGGTGCCAAGCAGGTCCTGGGCAGGCCACCACAGAAGGCCCCTGATGCAGCCTTGGGGTCATGGGGAAAGGCTGGCTGAGGCCACCCTGAGCCTAGGGGCTGTCAGGGCATGTCCTGGGCAGCAGGGCCCAGCTGTGGGGCACATGTTGTACCCGGGACCCGGTCTGTCATCTCCTATAACTGTCACACATGCACACACAGAGCCACTTCAGTCATACAGTCACTCATACTCCATCACACATGCACACACAGAGCCACTTCAGTCAGACAGTCACTCATACTCCATCACACATGCACACACAGAGCCACTTCAGTCAGACAGTCACTCATATCCATCACACATGTACACACAGAGCCACTTCAGTCATACAGTCACTCATATCCATCACACATGTACATATAGGCACACACACGCAGTTCACGGAGGACCTTGTTCAGTCCCTATGCCAGACCCATCAGAGTCAGGGGGATGACGCAGAGACGGTGGGCAAGGGGTACAGGCAGCAGTGACCCCCTCACCCCAATATGCCTGGTAGAATGCAGAGGGGCGGTGTTTTTTTGAAAGTGACTCATTTGAGAGCTGGAAACAGATGGACAGATGCTGGTTCTTCCCCCATGCCTTTAGCACCTGGGGCTGGGCAGGAGGCGTGGGTGAGGCTGTCGGGCGCGGCCTGGGATGCAGGTGCCAGCCTGAGGCAGCTGATGGTGGGGGCGGGTGCCGGGCTGAGGCCCGCCAGTGCAGCTGCCAGAGGCGCAGGACCTCACGCCGTGGCAGCTGCGATGTCCACTAGGGCGTGGTCCTCGAGCCTAGATTGTGGCATGCAAGGTGTATGGGACAGTGGCTTTCAAAGGACCGATGCTGGGGCCAGCACCGTGGCTCAACAGGCTAATCCTTCGCCTAAAGACACTGGAGTCACATATGGGCGCCTCACCTCTTGGCTGCTCCCTGCTTATGGCCTGGAAAATCAGTAGAGGATGGCCCAAAACCTTGGGCCCTTGCACCCACATGGGAGACCTGGAAGAAGCTCCTGGCTCCTGACTTCGGATCAGCTCAGTTCTGGCTGTTGTGGCCATTTGCAAACTGAACCAGCAGATGGAAGATAACCTCTCTCTTTTTCTCTAAATCTGTCTTTCAAATAAAAGGACATGAGAATGGGAAAGTGGAAGGACATACATGGCTGCCCTGGGGCCAGCTGGGCAGGGGCAAGTCAGGGTCAGGACCCCTGGGAGAACTGCCCTTCCTGTCCCCTCCCCTTCTGAGGTTGAAAGCTTGCAGTCTTAGCTTCTGCCCCTCACCCCTGTGCCCCTTCCCCAGGCTCAAGGGACCGTGGCCCCAGCCCTTCTCCCTCCCCTTGCACTCTGGAGACCACAACCCCAGCCCCTCCCCCTCTCCCCTATCCAGACTCAGCCTGGAAGCAGAGTCCTGAGCCAGCCGTAAACCCTGGCTGCGGGCAGGGGTGGGCAGCGGTGCTGTGGCCTTGCCAAGCACCACAGGCGGGCCACGCCCTTGCAGCAGCCTCCTGGGTGTGTGTGGGGGGATCGTGGCCATTGCCCTGGCCTCCTTCCTCCTCCACCCGCTCCTTCACCCCTACTCCCTGCTGCTCTCCCAGCGGGAAAAACTCCAGGCAACTGAGCCCTTAGCATCTCCCAGGGGCGTCCAGAGTGCTCCACCACCTCCTCTCCTGTCAGGTGGTTAAGATAACCACCCAG